AAAAAAAAAAAAAAGCTGTACTGAGGCCAAATAAGTGAAAGAACAAAGCAACAGGTAACACAGTAATAACCTTTAACAGCTGGACACGTCGCTCGTGTGGGATCCTGTCTAAGAAGTTCTGACGTCATCACCTGAAACTGTCAAAAGAAGGAACAGTTAGGGAACATTTATGAATCAATTCATTTAACAAACCTCCACCTGATCACTTGTGCAGTTTGAGCTGAACTTGATTGGAAACAGGAAGCTACATCAATGATCTAAAAATAACTTATCCTCTAAATCTCTATGAAACAGACGTTGCACGTTTGATTCCTCATATCAACGTGTTTCTGGTAAAAGCATGAAGTTCTGTGAATATGGACGTGTTTCCATCAGCCAGTAGCTCTGAATGTGACCAGCAGCTCAACATGGAGCGCCGTGACAACAACCTACACTCTGTTGTCGAGGACGTCTCACCACCATCTTCTCCTATGGATTTAACCAATAAATGGGAAAGAGCCGTTTCCCGTGTGCCGATAAGTCACGATCAGAATTTATAGTCACACGGAGGAAGGTAAAAATTCCAGAAAGCTTTCTGATTGGACGGTGATTGAGTAAAGAGAAAAGACCTCCATCAGATCTACAATATTAAAAAGTAAAGAAGACAATAGAGGTGAAATGAAACAAAGTGGGGATGACTTGAGCGACAAGCTGGACAAACCTCAATTCCTCCCAAGCACCACAACCCTAACACCATCCTCCTACAGGACAGCTGATGCCCGAGGGGCAGAGGGAGGAGTCGTACCTCAGCACTAAACCAACATTCAAGTTTGTTTCAACTGTTCTTTAACAAAAAAGAAAAGGAAAAGTTAAGAGTCTGTCAACTAATTCAAGCATCGGTGTTTTTCTTAGGCGAGACATTGTTATTTCAAAGTAAAATGTATTTTTCTCAGTCTGGGTCTAAATTGGTTTTAAATTAAAATTACACCAGAATCCTCCTGAATTCTTTGCAGCCACATTTCAACAACCTGAAAGAGCCACAGGAAATAAAACTTGAATTAAATTGTCTTAGTGCTTTGATATCAAACTCACCTGCTGCTGATGTGCAGATCTCTACGGGGTTTCACCTCCGTTTTCTGCTGCGGACTTGGGCTGGCTTTTAGACCTGGACCTGGACCCTCTTTTGGAGGCAGGGGTGTGGCTTCTGGACCTAGACTTGGACTTGGACTTGGATTTTGATCTGGAGCGAGAATGGGACTTGGCCTTGGTGTCCTTGTTCCTGGGAGAGTGGGACTTGGATCTGGAGTAGGAGCGGGATCTGCTGGAGCGGGATCGGCTGCGGGAACGAGAGCGGCTCCTGCTGCGGGATCTGCTGCGTCTTCTTTGTCTCGGGCTGCGGGAAGAGCTGGATACATTCAGTGGGTTGGGTTATCATCGGCAAAGTGAAAACAGCTGGACCTGAAGGGGGTCACACTGACACCCCCAACACATCGTCCTACAGATATGATCAGAGTTACATCAGCAGATCAGATGAGACTTTTATCTATTCTCGTCCTGATTACCTGATTACCCGTCTGGGCTCCCTACACTGACTGTTAGCTCGAGAACCGACTTTACAGCCCAAAAACACACATGTATTGAACTTGTATGTTCCCTCCCTGCTCCTCACTCCCAAGAGGAGATCTTGTGTTTTAAGAACACTTTGGAACTCTCACCCAACTTCTCTCACGTAGAACTTCTCTTATTCTGTTGTATTTTTATTGTCTCCAAATACCGAACTGCTATGACGACACAATTTCCCTCTGGGGATGAGTAAAGTCATCTATCTTACTTCTTAATGAGCTTTTAGGAATGATTGGGTTACACTTGTTTAATTGTTTGTTCTATATATAAAATTCATTTACTGCTTTATCTCTCATGTGACCAAAGTCCTTTTACTCAACCACTTTCGGTTTTATAGCTTCTTGAAAAGCACTTGGTGACGTTTTAAAGAAGAGCGCTGTAAAGAGAGTTTATTATATTATAATATTATTAGTTAGAATTAGTCAATGAAGACGGTTCATATGTGAGAACATCTGATGATGAATCGATGCTGGATCCTTAGTTTCTCCTGGTTACTTCAGGAACATGCAGTTTGTTATTTACGGAGAAAACTCTTGATAATGTATTTACATGAATTTAGTTTCAGCCGAACTGTGGTTTCAGTCAGACCGGTGGAAATAAACACGTCTCCTCTTCTGTGTGAGCGTGTTCGGGTCGGCGGGTCGAGGACAAAGCGAAAAGTCGGATTCTCCCGCGGTAGTTTCATGAAACACTAACTGGTTCTCACCTCCTGCTTCGGCGGCCATAACCTCCTCCGTGCCTCCGGGGCGCTCCTCCTCGCCGTCCGCCACCTCCTCCTCCGCCGCCGCCACCGCCGCCGCCGCCTCCGTTGTGGGAGTCGGGGGGTCTTCCGTACCGGGCCATCTGAACCCGGAGCTCCCGTCCGTCCAGGAGCGCGCCATCCATGGCGTCCATCGCGTCCTCGGCGTCGCGCTTGTCGTGAAAACGCACGAAGGCGAAGCCGCGGCTCTCCTTCGTGTAGCGATCGCGCGGGATGTAGACGTCGCCGACCCGGCCGTACTTCTCGAACACCCGCCGGAGGGTTTCTGGGGAGGTCCGGTACGTCAGGTTGTCCACTTTGAGCGAAGTCATGCCGTCGACGTCCGGGGGAGGCCTTCCGTAACTCATGGCGAGGAGCCCGCGAGGCCTGGTCACCGTCTCACGAACACCGGGAGTCTCCGCTGGGAGGCGAAACGTCCGCTCACACGGTTCAGGGTCGAAGAGTGGAGACGGACGGAAACGTTGACGCACGTGGATTCGTTCGGTTCGAGGATCGAGTCAGACGCTGCGGAACTTCTGCTGCTGCTTCTTCTTCTGAGGCTTCTTCCTCCTCCTCGAGGGTTTAATGGCGGTTGGTTATCGGCGCACCACCGCCCCCGTCTGGAGAGGAGTGGGAGTCAGACTGCACTACATTCTCCTCTTTTAGAAACCTGAACGTTTCCGGTATCACCTCTAATAATATAATAACATTAATATTATACAGCAGCTTTCATCGATACAGGTTTAAAAATATAATAATACATCAATTCTACATGTGCATATGTTGTTTTATTTTTGATCGGAAGTTGCGCAAGTTATCTTGTTGTGCTAGCATGCTAGCAGTGAGCGACTCCTGAACTCTGTCGGAGCAGACTCAGGGTGACGTGTCTGGTTCCACACGAGGTGTCCGAACACGTGCTGGAATAAAAACTGCACCGATCATTGTCCTCTGCTGCTGAACTCCTGCTCCGAACCCCGCGTGTCCGCGGGCTCGTGCTACAGGCTAACGGGTAAGCTAGCTGGTCAGCTGACTCTCTCACATGACAGCCTCCGGTTCAGCTGCCGTGTCCCGGTGCTGCGGCGAACATTACTTCAGGAGCCCGGTTCTTCGCGGCGGACACCGTCATGTCTCCGGTGGTTTGCGGGTCACTCGGGCCAGAGGAGGATTCCTGAGCCACCAGCAGCTAACGATGCTAAAGCCACAGTGAGCCCGGTTAGCTCAGCTCGTGTCCCCAGTTGTCGGTGAGTTGAGATGTAGTTTTCTAACCTTCGACAGTCTGAAGGAGGTGAATGCTCCTCATGTGATCAGTGTCTGGAGCAGTTCCTCTTCGTGTAGCTCAGCATGAAACACAGGAAACCTAACAACTGGTGTTTTCAGACCGTGTCACTCAGACTCAGATCTTTCTCTCACGGATCATGGAAACACATCGAGGCCGGAGGCGACGAGGGGGAAACAAACTCCCAAAGTTCATTTCTGGATCAAATGTTCGTCTCTGTGTGATCTGTGGTCTGCCGATGTGTTGGGCACGTGCTGCCCTATCACTCATGTCATCGAGCCTTCATGAGTCGTCACTATCCGTTGTCTCTGTGTGTTTCTCTTAAAACAACAGATTTTTGAATGTAGTTTGGTGTGTGGATTCTCTTCTATTTTAAGGCTAGGCGTTGTTACTATGAGAGCATCAGATTTCATGGATGTTTCTCACGTCTCGTATTTGTGTTTCTTCTTTTCCTTCCCTCCTCAGATGTGCTGTTCGCTCCAGTAGAGTTTTTTTTGGTCTTCACTTCCTCAAACAGTTTCCAAAATGAATCCTGAGGGGAAGAAGCTTCTGAACATCATCATCCTCGGCTTCGGCTTCATGTTTATGTTCACCGCTTTTCAAACATGTGGAAACATAGAGGTGGGTTAGATTTATTTACAGGTGCACAGCCCCCAGCGGCTAAACACAATGAAACACGTTCTCTCATGCTGCTCTGTCTTCACAGCAAACGGTTCTAAAGAGCTTCAACAGCACCGAGTTCCACGGGAGCGGATACACAAGGTGAAGTATCAGTAACTCCCACACTGAGGTTTTACAGTGTTTGTGCAGATGTTTTGCTGTCGTGCCACCTTCTATAATCAGATCTGTCTGACTCAGAAATCCCTGAAGGATAATCAAATTGTAGATGAATGTCGCAGGGAACAAAGTTTCCCTTCAGTCTGCAGCAGCGGCTCAGGACATCAGGAAACCTCCTGCGACTCTTTGTCTCTTATCTGCAGTGAACTCGTCCGGTTATCAGAGCTCTCACTGGGACAGAGGGTTTTAAAAGGTCGAGGGTCTGAATCAGTTTCTCCTTCCCTGTCTTGGGTCGTGTCCTCGCTCCTGTCGTCAAACAGTTAAAATCAACATCTTGCAAAATGTGTTGACAACAATGTTCGTGACTCATTAAGAGTTTGGACGTCTGGTGTGACAGACTCTGGATGGAACTAAAGAAGAGTCCAGAGGTCCGTGCTACAAAGCAGGGGGTGTTTTTACTAAGATGGCGCCAGCGTTACCTCCACCAAGAAGTTCCCTGTGCTTTATTTGGTGTATCTTGTTAGTTAGCTTCCACTGAAGTGAATACCATGAAACTCGGTGGAAGGAAGTGACACGTGTCAGAGAAGAACTCATCACGTTCTCAGTCAGGGGGCGGATCCAGGGAACTTCATAAAAAAACCAAACAGTCATGTTCAGGTGATATTTAAGAGTTTGTGAAATTCGGTGCAGATGTAAACAAAAATCCAGAGCTTGTGAATTGAGATGTGTTTTCATAAGGAGTCTGTTGAGCCTTTGGCAGCGATGTGAGTTTTGTGACGTTGAACATGACTCACAGGGAAAAAAACTGAAAGACAAACTCGTCAGCTGTCAAGAGGAGAAGAGTCAGTCACCTTTTTAAATGAGTTCACCTGTGTTAAAAAAACCAAACATGTGTACCTGCCAATTCTGGAGTAAGAGGTAGAGCTGTCCTGTCGTCTGTCGCGCAGCATGGCCATCATCTATGGAGTTTTCTCTGCGTCCAACCTCATCGCTCCGTCAGTGGTGACCCTCATCGGACCACAGCTCTCCATGTTCTTCAGTGGGCTCCTGTACAGGTAAACGCTCACTCACACGTTTCCTGTCCGCAGCTTTTTCTGCTCAATCCAGCTTCTGACTCTTCTTCGTGTTGTTTCCACAGCGGCTACATCGCTATGTTCATTTACCCGTACACGTGGAGCTTCTATACAGCGTCTGTGTTGGTCGGAGTAGGAGCAGCAGGTAACAATACACGAGCCGACATTTAAATTTGGGAAACAAACAACTCTCCTTTGCATGTACGTGGATCAGTGTTTGTGTGTTCGTTGTCCAGTGCTCTGGACGGCGCAGGGGAACGTGCTCACCATCAACTCCACTGACAACACCATGGGAAGGAACAGCGGAATATTCTGGGCTCTGCTGCAGTTCAGGTAAACTCAGGAGTTGTTATTCTCTTGAACTTTTCCAAGAAGTAAAGAAGCCCGGGACAAACTGCCAATCACTGAAGAGCCACACCCACAGAACAAACATGGACACGCAAGAGTGATGAAATACAATAAGACAAATTAATGATGCAGAAAAACTACAGCTACAGTTTATTTGATGGCTCCTAAAAAGGAGCTGCTCTTTAGTTTGAATTAGGTAATGAGTAAGAATAGAAGAGAAAAGTCGGGGTCCCTCTGGGGCCCGCTCAGTAATCTGTCCACACTCTGATTCAATACCATTCATCTCTCTGCAGCTTGTTCTTTGGAAACCTCTACATTTACTGTGCCTGGCACGGACACGTTCACATAACAGGTACCTGCCTCATATGTACATTTACTGCTCGTCAGTGGTTTCCATGGTGACCTCACGTGAGAAGTAAAGTGTGACTCATGTTGTTCGTCTCAGACAAAGACCGTCAGACGGTTTTCATCTCTCTGACCGTCATCAGCCTGGTCGGCTGCTTCCTCTTCTTTCTGATCCGGAGGCCCGACCCTGAATCGTCTCCCTCCGAGGCGACGGAGTCGCTGCTGCAGGCCGAGTCCACAGACAGCTCCACAGCTATGTATGTTGGGTTTAGTTCATTTATCCACACAAGCACTTTACCAATCAAGAGTTCGTCTCAGATTAATTAAACCAAACTGATCAGAAACACTGGAACAAACTTCAGTGAGATGAGAACGACCTGAAATGACAGAAACATCTTTGACAAACTTTTTTATCAACTTTAATTTCACTTTGGGGGCCGTCACGTCGTCCATCTTTATTTACAGTGTGATTGAACTGAAAGATGCTGTCATATGACAGAGGGGGTGCAGAGCATTGATCATTGTCAGGACTAAACCTTCTCGAGCCTCTTGACATTTTTGAAATAAGATTTTTCACAAACCTGTAAATGTCCTGGAAAAGATTTGATTTTTAAAGATAGATGGAGCTCTTTATTATTTTATCGGGCCAGTAGAGGACGGACAGGTGACCTTTAACTGTGAATGTCCTACATCACTCGTTGACTGTGATACAGTCGCCGCAGCAGCCGAGTCCAGTGAAGGGATGAGTGGAAAGGTGAAAATGTCTGAGAGACGATACGAGCCTGTGAATGTTGGAGGGACAGAGTTAAAGAGAAGATCTTCCAGTTACTTCAGTGTCGGCTTCATCAGGCGATCACTGGCGTCTCATCTTGTGTTTTGGTTCTTGCAGCTCCCCTCACTCAGGCCTCTGCTCACAAGCTCTGGATGCTTTCGGTGAGTTTATATCATGAACCCGCTCCTCGTGAGGTTTTATCCTTTTATTGTGACACAACTGTCTCTGATGTCGACATCCACTTTGTTGTTCGCAGTTCAAGCCTGTAAGATATTTGTCACCAAAGAGATGCTGCTGCTGAGCGTCTCCATCGGATACACGGGTCAGTGGGACGAGAAGTTCTGTGGAGGCAGACGTCGAACTGAGATCATGATCCAACTGAAACCTCTGCTCTGTCTCCATCAGGCTTGGAGCTCACTTTCTACAGCGGGGTGTACGGGACGTGTGTCGGCGCCATGACAGGGTTTGGCAAAGATGCAAAGAGTCTGATCGGCATCTCTGGGATTTTCATCGGCATAGGCGAGATCTTAGGTGAGTTGTCTGAGCTGTGTCTCGTCCTGACGCTCATTGATGAAGCAGTCTGTCACATGAAACCCACCTGAGCAAGTTGTTTTCTTTGCCCTTCCTCTGTCTGGCCAGGAGGGGGCGTGTTTGGGATGCTGAACAAGAGTAACCGGTTTGGGAGGAACCCTGTGGTGCTGCTGGGACTCATCACTCACTTTGTTGCCTTTTACCTGATTTTCCTGAACATCGCGAGCGACGCTCCGCTGGCCCCGGAGGAGGGGACGGATCTGCAGGCCTACATCACCCCGAGGTACGAAGAGCCACGTTCAGAGCCACGTTCAGAGCCAC